GGTAAAATTGTTCTGCAGCGATTCTATATAACAAAGTGATTTCTCTGACCTTGTGGGCAATCCATAGGATAGATCAGGTTATAGAAAACCCTCGTCAAAGGGAAACCCGGTGCAACAAATTCTCCCTCTGGCCCCTCCCCTTCAGAGCATCTAAAACACAGAGCCCACCATCCGCCACAGCACCCCAATCGTGGACTTGACCTTTGCCAATTTCCACTGTTTCAGATTTGACTCTTATCCTGTCACAATTAGAGCCATCTATTTTGGGGTGGCATTCCCAAACAGTCCACACACCCTATACCACCACGCCTTAGTATCCTGGACCTGGAACACCTTTCCCCAACCTGAAGAATATGTCAAAATCCCAACTTTTGTTTCAAGATCCAGCTCAAAGGTCTCCTCCTCCGGGAAGTCACCTCTGATTTTTCCAGGCAGAACCAGTGCCTCCATCTGGCCCCATGGCACATCTATACAGCATTTATGCTCCTACCTGTCACCCCTGGGTTTCTCTGAGAGGGTGAGGGTCCCCGCTCTCTCTGGGGAGACGGTGCAGCTCAACCGTTAAGGAACAGAGGCCATCCCAGCTCCACAACTAACCAGCTGCCTGCAGATGGTAACCCCAGCTTCACCATGTTGCGGGGATTAAACCAGATCACCCAAAAATGGTCAGTACAGAGCCTGACAAAAAGCTCAGAAAACATTACCAATTCTCCCTGAACTTGGGGGTATAAATTCCAGGAGGTCACAGGACGGCCACTCGTTCCAGTTTTACCAGACAATGCTGGTTCATGCCTGGGATCTTGACAACCTCTCTCTCTCTCAAAAGTGGCTCAGTTTGGATGACAAATTGTGTGGTGAACCTAAATAGTTGGAATCAGCTCTGTTTTATTTACCAGCGTGTCCCAGGCACATCAGTGTTCAGCCCCTATTCCGTACTTAATGAAATAACTGTCAGATAAATGAATGTCCCCGGTGCCTAGCTAGTGCTGGCACCTGCACCTGCAAGGGGCATCACGACTGCCAGATGATTTCTCTGTATTCCCAAGCACTTGACTCAGGCAGACATGACTCAAGACTTGGTGAGTGAGTGAGTGAGTGAATGGATGAATGAATACGCCTCCCCCCTCTCCTCTGTTGCCTGCAGTACCTCTGGGAGAAGAAACGACATCTCACGCAGGTCGGGAGAAGCGAGGGTCAGATGGAGGAGAGGCTGACGCTCCTACCACCAGCCTGGTGGGGAGGGGGTCTCAGATACAGTACTGGTGCCCATGACCACAGCCCAGGTGTGACCTGGCTAGAGGGTCCTGTGGACTGCAGAGGGTACCTTGAACCCTGATGCCACCAACTTTGCCACGTGGAACTGGGGGGCTCAGGGTTTCATCAAAGGCTGCCCCAGAGCCACAAGGGAGAAACCACCTAGATCTAGGTGCCAGAGGCGCAGGAAGAGCATAGGAATGATCTCTTCCCTTCCAGACTCAGAAAGAAAATGTCATGGGTTGGCAGCCAACATTTTTTGGACCCAGACCATACGCTAGGCATGAGGCTAAGAACTTTCAGAACATTAACCCCGCCATCAGAACAGCCCCGGCGGCAGGACTGCTATTTCACACACAGGTAAAGTGAGTCGGAGGGGGGAAGTGACTTGCAGTAGGTCACACAGCCAGTAACAGACCAAGCGTCCCAGAGTCCAAATCCCCCATATGCAGGAACCAAGCATGAGCGCCCTCCATCCCTCCCAACCTACTGTAAGAAAGCTCAGTTCTGTTCCTCCCAGGCTGGCTGTGTGACCTTGAGGCAGGCTCACCCTCTCTGGGCCTTGCTTCCCTTTTCCAAGGCCAAAGCTGTTCTAGAAAGCCAGGCGATACCTGATAGCCAGGATTGCTTCCTCCTGAGACCACAAGGCTTCAGGGTGACCAGGCTCTGGGTGAGTCCAGGGGTCCAGCACCTGTACTGCTCCCCCATGGGGCCTGGAGGTACCTGACCAAGCCCATTTTCTTTAGTCTTTGCTGATGGCTGAAAAATCAAGCCTCAGATTTGAGAGCCCAGCCGGCTATTGGGTCTTCGGTGCTCTCGGGTCACCAGACTGGGGACTCCTGCATCCTGCCTGGGGAAGGGCTGTGGGCAGGGCGAGAAGCCCCAGGAAAAGCCAAGGCCAAAGACGCAGAGAGCGCGGCGGACAGTGCTCAGCCTCGGCTCTCGGAGGCTCGGAAAGCGCCTTTGGGGAGGGGAGAAGCCCCCAGCTCTGGACCAGCGCCCGCCGGTCTGGCCATGTCCCCCGCTGTCAGGACCAGGGGCCTGGAGAAAGGGGGAGGGGAAAGGGGGGAAGCCAGGCGGAGAAGTCCGCGCCCGCCGGGAAGGAGGAAACAGAGGGGCGAGGACGGGGCTTCCAGCGCTCCGGCCGCCCCCTGTTTCCGAGCTTCGCTGAGCCCGGAAAGTTTGCGCGCGGCAGGCGCGACGCGCCCCTCCCCGGCCCGCAGGCGCCGGGTCCGCAGGCGCCCACCCCCGCCCGCCCGCGCCGGTGCCCGCTCAAGGTCACCGCTGACGGGCGCCGCCTCCGCGGGGCGAGGGGACCCCGGGCGCGCCCGGGCTGGGCCGCGGCTCCGGCGCCACGGGGGTCCCCGGGCCGGGCCGAGCGCCCGCGGGGGACGCCGGCGGGAGGAGACGGAGCCCGCGAGAGCGCGAGGAGGCCCCGAGCCCCGGCCCGGCCGCCCCTGCCTCACCTGCGCCGGCTCCGCGAGCGAGATGCTGCCGCTGCCGCTGCCGCTGCCGCTGGTGCGCGCCCGGCCCGGCCCGGCCCCGCTGCGGCTGCGGCTCCTGCGCCGCGGCTCCCCGCGCTCGCCTCGCCCCGCGGCCCCGCCGCCGCCCGCCGCCGCCCGCCGCCTCTGCCGCCTCTGCCGCCGCTGCACTGCGCTCCGCGCGCCGCCCCCGCCCGCCGCCGCCTCCCGCGCGCGCCCCGCGGCCCTCCCCAAACTCCGCGCGGAGAGCGCCCGCGGGACCGCAGCGCGCAGCCCGGCCCGGCCCCCTCCGCGCTCACGGGCGGGCCGGGGAGGGGTCCCGGCCTCTCTCCGGGCCCCGCCTCCAGGTGCCCGCGTCCGCCGCCCGTTCCCACCGGCCCGCCCTAGTCCTCGGCCGGGGAGGGACCCTCCCGCCGTCCCGAGCCAGGTGCCTCTGCTTCCCCAGCACGACTGGAACTGTGGTTGGGGTCACGCTGTGTGGGCAGAATTGAGGTGCAGGCGGGCACGGGCACTGGGAGGGGGTGAGGAGCAGCTGGGTCAGTCCTAGGGTGTTCAGCCCAAGAGCAGTCAGAACCCAGAAAGAGTGGGGTAGGTGAGGGGCACCTGTTGGCCCCTCACCTACAGCCTGCCAGGCCCAGGGCCTGGAGGACAGGCCAGAGGCTCTGCCCAAGGAGAAAGGCAGAAGAAAGCAGCGAAAGCACCTCTCCAAGGCAGGCTCCCCCCTTGGCACAGGCCCCCGGTCCCCAGAAGACTAGCCCCGCCGGGAAGCCGGCCACCTGACTCCCAGCGCCTCGGTCTGCTTCATGCCATCAATTAATCATGCCCGCTTGCTTATTTATTTATTGGCTTTATAAAAAGCCAAATGTGCTGCTCACAGGAAGAGAGATGTGCACCCACAGGGCTGTTCGGGAGGGAGGGCCTGACCCCCGAGGTCTCCCCAGGCCTTGGTTGGGTGTCTGAGGGCCAGGAGACCCCAGAGTTCTGCCGTCTGGAAATCTGCCCCCTGGGAAGGGCTGGGATCAGTCACCATGCCCGCGGCCAATATTCACATGGCCAGGGAGCTGCAGCCCTGGCCTGGGCAGAGGCTGTTCATTCTTGGGGGTCTGTGCCCTGCAGCCCCGGCCGGGGCAGGGACTGTTCACTCTTGAGCACTCAAGAATAGAAGGAAGAGAGAGGTCCGGAGGCCAGGAAGCCCAGCAGGTGTGAGAGGAGGTGTCTCTGGCCTCCTGTTGGCTGAGAGCACTGGTTCTCAGGCTCATACTCTCCTGGCAGGCTGCGTGGCAGCTCCAGCCATAGCTCCGCGCTAATTCTGGGGCGCCCAGAGGGCATCTCCCCATGGATGCCCCACCAACCCTGACCTCCCCCTACTTCATCTCAGCTAATGACACTCAGTGAGTCCAGGTGGCAGCTATGGGCTCCCCTCATCTCCAGGTTCTCATGAACGGGTCTTCTGTGGTCTCCTTGGATCTGCTTTCTGCCCTCTGTAGCAGGGCCTGCTCCTGGCCCCCAACACCTCTCTTCTGCAGTCTCACATGGCATCCTCTCAACTGCCATCCTCCTGCCCACTAGTCTTCAGGAAACCAGACAAGGAGTAGGACTGCTCCTGCTCTAAAACCTTCATGGCTCCCTAGTGCCCAAAGATGCCCCTGAGCCTCAGGCCACCTCTGAAGGCCTTTCATGTTCTGGTGCCCTCCCTGATACATATTTGGCAATAAGCCATGTATTTGTCTCTTCTGTTCCTTGGAAGGAAATGCCTTTCTCGCTTCCTCTCTGCCCAGTCGTAATCTCAGCTTTGGTTACTATCTCTCATGAAACCTTCAGAAACCAGCAGGCGAGTTGAGAAGGCAAAATGAATGGGCATGAAAAGTCACAGAATGTGAGGCAACTCAGTGTAAAAGTGATGCCACAAAAGTCTTAATGATATAACTCATGAGCTGTGTGACCTTGGGCATGCCCTTGACACCTCTGAGCCTGTTGGTTTGTCTGTTAAAAGAGCGATAAGTTCCATGATCTCCTCCAGGCTACGTACACCTAGTGGTGACTACAATTATTCTCAAGCACCTACTGTATGCAAAGGCTCTGGGACTTAAGGGATGATTTGGTAGGGGCTTGAAGGACAGCAGCGATTGCAAACGCAAATGCCTATAGGAACCTGGCAATCCTGAATGAGGTAAACCAGTTCTGACTCATGACTCTCTTTTGGAATCTCAGTAAGAAAAAGTGACACTGGGTGTGAGGTCACAGAGCAGCTGACACTGACTGTCTGGAGTGGTGGGGACTGTGGCATCTGCCCTGTGAAATGGGGCCAGTCACTGCTCAGTTCCACTCTCTCTGGCCAAGCAGGGATAAGTGCCTAGAGTGCCAGCTTTCTATTTTTTCGAGAGAAGTTGGACATCTGTATTTTTACATGAATACTCTTGATCTTTAAATGTCATCAACTAATTTAAAAAAATTTTTAAGCTCTTCAATGGAACAAATACACTACAGCTGTGCTAGGTTTTTTTGATCAGCAGGCTGGCAGTTTTGGGCTTTGGAGGAAGATCAAGGTTGTGTCCACCTCAGAGGCACACAGGGCCAGGGGAACGAAGCAAGGAGCGCCTCACGTGGCTGACAGGATGGTGGGTATCAGGTGAGGCACTGGGCTCAGGACCAGCGCATCAGGCCTGGCTCTGCCCCTCTTTCCCTAGGGACTCAGCTGAACCCCTTCTCTTGGTTGACCCTCACTTTCTTCCCCTGAGGCTGGGGGGCAAGGGAGGGGAAGAGCCAGCTGTGGCCACAGGTGTGTGAGGTGAGCACGGGAGATGTGTGGGCACAGGAGGTGCCACTGGCTATGTAGAAGGGGCTCTGGTAGTGAGGGAGTGGGACCACCCAGAGCTCCCAGCCACTAATAGAGCCCGATGCACTTGACACTGGAGGTTTTTCCAGGATAGCAAGTCCCCAGGGAAATGGCTGCTTCCCTCAGACACATGAAGAAGAAGAGGTGGATGCCTGGCCCTGGGGTAGTAGCACATCACCAAGTTCATAACAAGGGTGAGAGAAGAGGCAGCAGCCAGAAATGGGCAGAGCAAATGGAGATGGCACGGGTTCCCAGGGCCTGCGAGAGCGCCTTGGAGGTGGTTTTGATGGGACAGGATGAAAGCTGACTTTATTTTCCCATTCACCACAACTGACCATGTCTTATGACCTTAGTGGCAAAGCTATTAAATGCACCCACACCCCAGTGATAATCTTATGAAACAAAAGGAGAAACAGAAATCCATTGATGAGCAAGATGTTCATCTTGGAAGCCACTGCTAAGGCTTTCTTTAAGCTCCACCCTTCCCAACATACCTAAGAACCGGTCACCAGGATCTAGAGGGACTCCTGGGGCTGATGCAGGTCTCATGGTTGAATCTCCAGGATGGGACTGTCCAGCATGGACCTGACACCCACCTTGCCCCTACCCTCCGAGCGGGCAGGCAGGGGGAATGGGAATAACAGAGCTGGTCCCTCCTCTTTGGGAGGCAGGAAAGCCCACCCCCAAGACAAGGCAGGACCAAGTCACAAAGTGCCACCAAAGAAGATGAACATGGACACCCTCTGGGGAGGCCACAGAGCCGGAAGAACATTCTAGACAATGTATATCAGGCCCAATGTATATCAGGTGTATCCCAGCAAGAATGCTCCCATCTTCTACGTATGCGGTTTTAAAATTTAAGTGAGAAGAGAAACTGTCAAGAGCCGAGCAGCCTGGGGTGGGGGTGGGGGGTGGGGGTGGTAAGGGAGACAGGAGTGGTGGGTGTTAGTGAGTTTTAAAGAACGCACAAGTGACAGAAGCAATAGCCGGACTCCACGAAGTCTCCGTTACTCTTTCTAGCGTTTTAAATGCCTGTTGTCATCCTCCAGACAGAAGCTGCTGCTGGCCAGCCACAGCCCTGCGCCTGCAGCCCTACGGCCCCCTAATCTTCCAGCCCTGCCTGTAACTTCCCCCACGGTCCTGTCCTCAGCTGGTGGGAGCCACGAGGTGGCCACATCTCTAGGGTGAAATCACCCTCCGGTGCTCCCATGGGGCGGATCCAGGTGAGAGAGGACGCCTCCCCAGCCCATCCTTGCCCAGTGACTCCCCCTTCCCTGCCTGCCTCCCTCCTTCCCCTACAGCTTGTTCCCGAGCACACCCCCTCAACAAATTCCATGCACAAGGATGCCCGCCGCAAGCTCTAATTCTGGGAAACCAGACCCCAGATTATTTTCTGATCCCCATTTTGCACCTGAGATGCTGAGGGTGCTGATCTAGGAGAGGAGGCGTCACTGGTGCATCTCCACCCCGGAAGGAGCTCTCTCTGAGTACAGGGGAGCAGACACGGGGTAGAGGTGACAGGTGGGGGGTGAGGGGGCTGTGTGGCGAGGTTGTGGGTGTCAGAGGGAGATTTGGGGAGAAAGGCAGGGAGGCGATGGCCGTGCAGCCACAGAGGGTGTCAGACGCCCCTCAGGATTGACCATTTATGGGTTTGACATGGACGTGTCCATGGTGGGCCAGGCCCTAGCACGGTGTGTGAGCAGGCTTCAAAGATAAAAGTGGAGAAATTCTTTTCTTCAAGAGGGGGTGGTGGGGTAGCAAGGGGATAGGCCCACACAAGCTCAGGTTTGTCACAAACTCCAATATTGTTTTAGGGTGATTTCAGCTGGGTTCTGCAGTCAGCGGAGGGAAGGGCGAAACTGGTGTTTGAGCTCAAGGGTAGAAAGAGACAAAAAAGGCTGACTGCGCTGGACGCCACTTCCCCGTGAAAGAGAACGAGCCTGGCGCTGACCATAGGCCAGCCTGGCCAGAAGGGACAGGCCTGGCTCCTCCATCGACTGTGTTCATCCAGGTGAAGTTCAACCAGGACCAAGAGCCTGTCCTGCATGTGGTCCTAAAGATGCAAACCCTCGCGTTCTGATGGGGGACCGCAGCTTGACCTGGAGGCCTCGGACCTGATGGAGAAGCCCGGGAACAGAACTGGACGTGGCTGTGACAGAGGCCGGAGTTGGCTGCTGGGAAGGAGTGTGGCACACACGGGAAGCCTGCTGTGATAGGAGCTGCAGAGGACGCTGGGGAGGGCGTCCAGGCCGAGCGTGCATGGCAAGCAGCAGACCACACCGTCCTGTGAGCCAAGGGAGGGCAGGACAGAGCCAGCCAGGGAGCAGCCACAGCCCCGCCGGCTACCTGACCCGTGGAGCCCTGCTGAACCCTTCCCTGCGGGCAAAGGTGCCCGAGGGTTCTCTGGGGCTTCCTGGGCCTGGGGTGGGTTGTAAACCAGACCTTGATGTATATTAGGGGCCCCAAAAGTGAGAGGAAGGGAGTTTGGAGAGCTGCTGAGTCTGAGGAAGGGAGGAGGAAGGACTTGTCTCCTCTGAATATGTGGTCTTTAAATGTCATCTTTGGTGAAAATACAGCAACCTTTTAATGGTGAGAGTCTGTTTGGCTTCTCAAAAAGGCTGGGAGTGCCGCGCAACACTCCCTCGGCAGACGCGTGCAACTTCCTGCCCAAGAGTATGTCTGGGGGAGCAGCAGCCCACATGGGGGGCAAGCCAGACCTGCTAGCACTCACAGCACCCGGGAACAGCTGCGAGGGAGCAAGTTCTCCAACCCCTTTGCTCCTCGGGCAGGACAACTCCAGGGTGCTGTCTCCACCAGCCAGGGGCCCCAGGGGAGCTGACTTTGGTTGCCACACTGGAGAGCTGCGTGATGCTGCCCCCGGCCAGCCTCCTTCCCGCTCCCCTACTGGTATTCCCTGAATCATCTCCCAAATGAACTATCTGAGCTTGAATCTTGGTCTCAGGCTCTGTTTCTGGGGAGACCAAGTAAGGAGAGCATCACAATTCGGCCAATGGGCTTTGCCGTCAGGGGGTCACTCAACCCCAGTTCTAGCCTTTACCTGGACCAGGTACTTAAGCTCTCCCAACCTCCACCTCCTCTTGCTTAAAATGAGAGTGGGGTGACCATTGCATTTACTTCACTTCTTTCATGATCATTCGCTTGTTCTAAAATCCACTGAGCACCTACTATGTGCTGGGCACTGTTCTAGGCTAACGACACTAAATGTCTGAGCTTGTGACTTTACATTAGTGAGAAAATTCAGATAAGAAACAAACGTATCAGGCAGTGATTACAAAGTCAAGGGAAAAATACAGCTGGATAGAAAATGATTGAGGTTGTTTTAAATTTTAGCGAACTAAATGAAAGAACTCACACAAAGTGTTTAGCATATTGCACAGCACACGGTAAGTCTTTACCAGCATCCTCATCATCACCCTCTTTCCCCACCCACACCTGCCTATTGCATTTTTAATCAGTAGAGAAATATTTACTGGCCCCTCCTCAATGTCAGATCCTGTGCTAGGTGCCAGGGATACAAAATAAACATCTTTACCTTTGTGGTTTTATAGTCTGGTGGAGGAGAACAGTAACAAATAAAGGTAGATGTTGCCATACATTTGCATTCTGAAATAAGCACTTCTAAGGGAAATGAGCACTCCTATGAGCACTAGGAAGAAGAACCGTGAGCAGGTCTACAGGTCACAAAATCTTCTCAGGAAGGGAATGCCTGGGCTGAAGGCTAAAGGATGAGTAGCGTTAACAATGCAGGGTGAGAAATATCCAGGAAGAGGGAACTGCATGTGCAAAGGTCCTGTGGTGGAGAGGAGCAAAGGAGATGGAGAGACAGAAGGAAGGTAAATGTGGTTGAAGCAGAGACAGCAAGAGGGGGCTGTGGGCAGGGCCCAGACTTTATTCAGTGCCATTCAATGTTAGTCTCTGTTTTAAGGACTTTATAAATATCATCTCACGAAGCTTCAAGCAAACCTTGAGTATCTGAATGGTAAATTTGACACTCAAAGGGCTTGAGGCTCAGAAAGGCACATTAACTTGCCAAAGTCAGTCAGTGTGGGAAGCCGGGATTTGAACTCAGATCACTGTGATTCCAGGGCCAAACTATTACAATAACAACTGCAGTCTTCATCTTAAACCCTCAGGGGACAGTGTCTAAGATATTGCTATGGGGAGAAACTGGGTTTCAAAAGGCACACAGAACCTCTCTCCTTCTTGCCATTGCCTGCAAATTTACAGTTATTTCAAGATAAAAAGTTTAATTAAAAACTTATTATTTAAAAAATAAAATAAAATAAAATAACATGAGTCCCCCACTTGTCTCTAAAAAAAAAAAACAAAAACAAAAAACAAGCCATAGGGGGCCTCCCTTGGTGGCGCACGGTTGAGCGCTGGGCTGCGAGCCTGCCCGCAGCCTCTGCAGTGCCGGTTCGTTCCCCAGCTGCCGGCAAGAGTCCCACCAAAAAAACAAACAAACAAAAAAAAAACCCAAGCAATAGGGAGCCACTGAGAGTTACTCAGCAAGGCAGTGACCTGGTAAGAATGACCTTCAATAAAGAACCCACTGGCTTCCCCGAGGATCACAGAGGGAGCTGTGGGGAGGCGTTGATGCCATCTGGGTAAGAGAAGATGCTGGCTTGGCCCTGCAAGCGGCAGTGCAGTGGGTGGGAAAGACAGGGGACTGGGAGATTTGGGGTGCTGTGGTGACTGTTCACAGAGACGCTTTAGTTAGGCATGTTAAGAAGAGGTTCAGAGAAGCGGCCTCGAGTCTGGCTTCCTGGGGACCCAGGGTTGCCCCTTCTCTGACTCTCAGTGCTGCGACAGGTGAGAGGATGAGTCCAACAAGACAGACTCAAGGCACCCCAGCCGGAGAAAACGCCACGTGGCGCCAACTCTGCATCAAAAAGAGAGCTGGGGAACTAGGAGGCCACCCACATACCCCTCATCATATTAAATGCTGTGCTGGTGTCTTTTCTGCATCTGTCCAGGCTCCCAGCTAGAAACGCAGCTCTCTAAAGACAGAGGGACGCCGCCTCGCTGCCCTGGCCCCTGGCTCACGGCCTGGGGTGGAGGAGACACTCCTGCTCCGTCGGCCAAGCGCTGGGCAGGCAGCCCTTACAGTGTCCTGAGGTGAAAGAGCTGAGAGCCATGAACCAGTCCAGACTTGCAGGAACATCTCAAGGAACAACAGAAAAGGCTTTTGTCCACTGAGAGTCCCCGGGGTAGAGCAGACACCTGCAGCAGCACAAAGTGCCCTTCTGGTCACATCGACAGGAGAAAGAGAACAGGACTCCACCCCCGTGCTCTCCACAAAGAGAAACCCTCCTCTGCACACGGAAGCGCTGGGTTGGTCAGCAGGGTTTGACGTCTGGAAGAGGGGAGAGGTGAGCTCCTGGGGTTGTCCAGGGTCTGAAGAGGAGCCTCCAGCCCTGAAAAGACACCCACACTTACTGCAGGGCCACCCCCTGCGCCCCAGGTCCTGAGATGGCTGGGAGAAGTGCTGGAAACCTGGAGACAGGACAAGTGTTCTTGATTCCAAACAGGACAGATGTGATGTCCTGGGAGGTCCAGCGCAGCACGGCGGGCAGCTGTCATGGTGGGTGGTGATGAGTGGGGTGTCCGGAGCTTGTTTTTAAGAAGCCTGCAGTCTGTCGGGGGCAGAGACTACATACATGCAGAGAAGAGCTAAGGTTGTAATTGTTCAAGAATATCTCAGAAAACAACCTGGAGGAGGAACAAACTGGGTTTGTTCTAGAAAGCCCCCTCATGAAGGCAGGGTGGAAGGTTCACATCTCTGCAGGAAGTTGGTACACGATAAAAGCAGCATCTCAGATCGAGGGTATGACTGAGCATGATAGTAAATGGTGTTGAGACAAATGTAGTCATTTGGGAAAAGATGTGGTTGGATCCACATACAACCCTGTATGCTAAATAGTTCAAGTGGATCAAGATTCTGGTTTAATTGCAAAAGCATCAACTCATAAGTGATCAAAGTAAAGCTTGGGCAAGCTCCTTTAAAACTTCAGAGTGGATAAGATCTCTCTGGCATTCAAATCCAAAAGCCAAAAAAGATAAGATTAGTGAATTTCATAAAAGTAAAAAAAGAAATCTATTAACTTTCTGTTTGGGGAAAAAAAAAACACAAGAAAAATCATAAAAGCAAATAACCACCTGGGAGAAAATTATGTCATTTCAAAGAGGGTTATGTGCTGCAATATATAAAGAACTTCCAGAAATCAAGATGGTAAAGACCAGCAACAAATCAAAAACGGGAAAAGGCTGTGAAGAAGTTGTCTGCCCCACATTAACCCCAAAGTCTCTTCAATATGTGAAAACCTGCTCAACTTCACTAATTAGAGACATGTACTTTAAAACTGCATTTATAAGCCAAAAGGCTGAGACTAGCTGTCAGGGCAGCTTGGGGAAGTGGGTCCGCTCAGACATGGCTCCGGGAGTGCAGCTCTGGGAGGGGAGGGAGGCGCAAGAGCTGTCAAAATGATAAACGTGGCTACTCTTTGACCCAGCAACCCTCCCATGGAAATGTGTTCCAGGGATACACCAGCCTGCACACGGGGCATGTTATTCCTGTGGCTTTGTCCCCAAAGGGGTTGCGATGACCCCAAGCGACTGCCAGCCTCAGCCACGGTAAGTAAGAACGGGGCACTCTTACAATGCAGTGCCCTGAGCTGGGGGAAGAGGTGGGGAAGCTCTGTTCGCAGCGGTCCGGAGAGAGCTCCAGGTTACTGTGAAATGAAAAAAGCAAGATGGAAAACAGACAGCATCAGTTTACGTAGCACTCGACATTTTCTTAATGGATGTATTGAAATACAATTTGCCTGTCTTAAAATTCAGCTGCTTCAAGAGACCATTCCGCAGCTTTCAGTGTATTTACAGAGATGTGCAACCACTGCCATCATCTAATTTTGTAACATTTTCATCGTCCCCCAAAGAAAGAAATCTTAGTACTCTACCTTTCTTTTGTATGAGACAGGGGGAAACAAGAGAAGAGACACCCACACATGCATATATGGACTCTCACGCACACACGCACACTCCCATCCACACGCACACATGCGCCAAACATATTTGCAGGTGTTGCCGGAGCTCTGGAAGGGCACACCAGAGGCTCCCATGCTGCAACTGGGGATTGCAGAGCTGGTGACGTGGCTGCTGCTGAGTGGGCCTGGGGAACAAACGGATTCAGGGGAACAAATGGAGGCTGGACACAGTTGGAGGGGACGTTATCCAGACGGAGGGAACCCTGACCTGAAGGAGGGAACCCTGACCTAAAGCAGGGGCCTAGGGCTAGATACGAAAGGATGGGTTTGAGAAAATTCTAGAAGGGCATGTGGCTAGGGTTCCAGATAGTAAGGGTCAGGAATGAGTCGAGGATGACTTTGTAGTTGTATCTTGGGCAGCTAAGGGGATGAACATGAATGAAGGCGATCTTGGGGTGCATGGAGCAGGTGTGGGTGGGGCCCCTAATAAGCTCACATGGGTCTCCACAGTCTCAGAACAACTTGAGTGCATCCACATTTAGAACAGAGCCTCAGGTCCCCACGGGGCAGAGGAGAACTCC